AGATGAAATAATTAGAATAATTTTCATTTAGCCAATTTTCCTCAGACAGGTGTGTAATACAGATTTTTTTCTAATTAAATGAAACGTGTTCATTTCATAATTACATTTGGTTTATTTTATTTTTCAAAAGAAATAAATAAAATTTAAATAGCTTTCTTGTTTGTGATTTCGAATATCATTCAAAATAAATATTGAACAAACGCCTAAGATCGGCAACAGTTGCCGAATCTGTAATATACAACAGCTGTAATAATAATGGTATTTTAATAATGTAAAATATATGTAGGTACATGAAAAATTGATGTTAATGTATGGAAAAGTATGTGAGATATATATGTCAGTGTGTGAGTCATCTTTAGAGACACCCACATCCACAAATATGTGGGTGAGCATCTCATCAAAAGAAAATCATCACTATGAAATGTAATGTGATGTCAAATTGCTAAGGTGGTCAAGGTTGTGTGTTAATTTTTTTATAAAAGAACTTCCTTGAAAAAAAGACGCACAAATGTCGTCCATATTGCTCTTATATCTATATGAATAAATTATTATTTACATAGACGTATTACAGAATAAGATATACGGATATAAGTTCTAAAGAAAAATATGGATATAAGTTTGCAGAAATCGTAAAGTTCTTTTGTGAGGTAATAGTTTGAAGAGTATATCCCTGTATAGGGACACGAATCGAAGTCGATTTTTTGAATTTCGCAAACCGATACAATATTGATTTTTTATAACTTGCGCCCCAATAGGAATCAAGTTAGACCAATATAAAATTTTGAGAATATACATGGAATAGTGATGCTCAAAACTTCCCAAAATCATGCGTTAGCGTAAATGGTTAAAAACACATTCTCATTTGTTCTCTTTCTGTGACTTTGCACCCATGAAGCTATTTGATGTATGACGCGAGAAAATAGTTTAAAAATGGCATGGATTAAAAAACCGACACAAATTTTTTAACTTGGTTTCATGCCGCTGATTTTAGTTGCATTTTTTAACCAAAGGTTGTAGTTTGGCACTTCGGTATCTTGGAGGGTGATAAAACATATTTGAAGAACATTTTAAAAATATAGGTTTATTTTTAGGCATAAGTATTTGATGATCCTAGGAACATTTTTCATCACCTTTGTAGAAAATGTTCAAAATGTAGATCTATGAGTTGAAATAACCCTTCTTTTTATTGCACTTTCTTGGTCCTAGAAACATTTTCCGCGAAATGGCTTTATTTTGACTTTTCTGATTCATGGTATCCATATTTTAACATAGATCCCCGCTCCATGTAACGGTATGTATTTAATCTATAGAAATTATCGCAAATGGTCTTGCGTCTATAAAAGATCTTCTGAAATGTATTCTATCTACAGAAGAGTTCATGAATGTTCGGACTATGGAAAATCTTTTAAAGGGTCTTATATTTACAGAAGAACCCATGACGGAAATTTTATAGATAGGATCTCATAAAGGCTATCTCATCTATAGAAGACATAATGCAGATTTTTTTTTTAGCTACAGAAGGTATATTGTAAGAACATCTATAGAAGAAGGGTTTACAGGATGGCTCGTAGCCTTGTTAAAAATAAACGCAGATCAATACCTTCCAACTCCGACCATAAAAGAAAATAAGTAATCAATCCATTTATCGTATGAAATGAACACGTTTATCGTAAGAATTATTCAAATTTTTATAATGCAAATGCGACATTTTCTTTCATTGCTGATGTAGGCAACAAGATAAAATGGGAAACATTATTTCTCGAAATAACTGGTCATCCAACCACATTTAAAAAATAAATTTTATGACCCCGCATAAGCCTGTCAACTATAACAGTTGGGTTTTCCGAGCACCAGGTGCTAAAATTTGGCGTAGCCATCGAGTTAAAAATTATAATTAAAGATTGTTTGTAAGTCAAAACTATTCCTCATTGAAATATTGGTTGTAGACCCCAAATCAGTTTCAAACTATTTGGAATGTCCGTCTGGCTGCTGACCAGGATAACTGTAAAAGCGAATAACTGATTACTTTGCACTTCATAATATTTCTTCCAAATTTAAATCAATTTCGAAGATACAGAATGTCGTCCACTTTTTCTGGTACCTCCGCAACAATTGATCAACATTATAATATCATGCGAAGGACCTATACGATTTAAAACAAACTTTGAACAATCTAACATTTTAACCAAGTCTGTATAAAGTTGGAAGATGTGACCCTTTGGTCCACTTATTCTATTACCTCCCCCTCAAAGAGTCAATATTTTGGAAACTTTTGAAATTTCCAATTTCAGCCAAACTTTGTATATCGTAATATTTTTACCATCATAATTTTTACCATACACATCGTTGTATGTTTACCAACTCTAAATCAAATCCCACAAATTGTCGAAATTTTTAAATGCAATAAGGGAATGTCTGATTGGAACCAAACACTGCACGTGGACAAGATTTTTAACAGACTTACATTCAGTTCGAAGATGGGACCCATTGGTCCACACCTTCTGGCAACTGTTCCACAAACGGTAAGAATTTTAAATTTCTTTTGAAGCGAATGGAGTTACTGAGTTGTTTCCAATAATTGCACTTCGTAATATTTTACCAACCTAAATTTAATCCGAAAATGGGGTCTAGAGAACAAATTCTTTGGTATCCCACCACAGTATCAGTGAAATATTTAGAAAATTTTCAGGATTGTAAGACACATTTCCAACCGAAGTATCTGTTATTTTATATTTTGAAATATAATTGGGTAACAAATTTCCATAAAAAATTATTAATTATTAAGTTTTTGGTATTTTAAGTTTCCTGCAGCGGAATTGGCTTAATTAGATATTTTGCGTTTTATGTTTCTAGGTGTCGCTAATAAAAAGAAACCCAAATATCCTTTGAGAACATAGTCGACATAGGTCTACTTCTTTGCTATGTTCCTTATATAGAGATACCAAGACTATTCGCTTAGGACCAAAAATATGGCACGGTCGGAATTAAGGACTTTTTAACTCATGTTATATATTTAAAAGTAATTCAAAATACACATACTATTTTTTGTATTAAAAATTTACTTTTTTTTCTTTTTGTCATCTATTTTATTTTCAAAATCTGACCGCCATATGTTTCTCTTTGAAACCGGGGTGGTCTAAACTTAGTAGACCTTAATATTTATACTCAATATATATTTACTGCAATTATCGACTATTTAGGACCATAATCTCTGCTACCTTTCCTCTGAATTGTCACAATATATATATTTAATTAAATAATAATGAACTAGACATTAATTCCGTTGACCTCCGCAATCCATAGCCTGGCGGTGTATATTTTTTGTATATACCAACTGAAGACTATTATATGGGTATGACAGACCAATAAAAAGACTCTTATGTTTTTACAATTTATTTTTTTTTTGTTAATCCTAATGGGATTATATGGCTTCCACAAAGTATCTTCATCTCACTTATTTTACATTTTTAATCCATTTAAGTATGATTTGTTTGTTTAAATCTGTCCTAGGTAATGGGACTGCTATCTATCGTTGCCTAGAAATAACGTCTTCTTGAATTTTGTATTATGGTAGGGATCCTAGCTTATTCAGTGTTGCCACTGTCCTCCGGGTGGCAGTCATACTTTTTTAATGTTATCATTATGTGTTGATGGTAAACTACACATGAGGTAAAGTACTTTGAAATAAGATTTCGTGCTCCGCTGGAATTTGAACCTGGAATCTATCTGATTGTAGTCCAACACACTACTTATAAACAAAGAATGCGTGATGCGTCTGTCCTCTATAGTCGCCTAGAAACAACGCTTCCTTGAATTTTGTGCAGCGGTTGGTATCCTTGCATATTTAGTGTTGTCATTCCTATTAAGTGTTATCCTCATGTGTTGATGTTAATGCCGTCTTGAAAGAAGTTTTCTTCATCCGTTGGAATTCAAACTTGGGATACATCTAATTATAGCCTAACACACTACTTATAAACGAAGAATTTATGAAGCGGCTGTCCTATATAGTAGCCTAGAAAAAAACGCATCCTATTAGAACACCAATTTCCTGTAACTATAGAAACTACCTTGAAAGAAGTTTATCTCATCAGGTGGAATTTAAACCTGGAATAGATATAATTGCAGTCTAACCGACTACTTATAAACAGAGAATAGGTGATGCAGCTGCCCTTTATAGTAGTCTAGAAAAAAAGCATCCTTGAATTTTGTACAGTGGTTGGGATCCTTGCTTATTTGGTGTTGTCATTCCTATCATGTGCTATTCTCATGTGTTGATGTTAATGTCGAGGGGATGTAGTATGTTTCATATTAGGAGGCCAATATCATTTAACAATAGAATGCGATTAGAAACCCTATAAATATCGTTAAATATCGCTATATAAGTTCTCTCAAAACTTCCTCTCTCAATAAAAGTGTGTATGTATACGCTTCTAAAATCTGAAAGCAATAACTGTGTGTAAAGCTTGTAATAGAAGCATAATGACTGTAAAATGAGGCTATTACAAGAATTACAAAAATTTCGAGTACTCTGATATTTCTGTTAAGATAAAGAAAGTGGTTGATAAATAATTGCTTTTAGGGTGGAGTGGGTATTTACAAAAAAGTGGAGGAAAAAAATCCACGTAGGACGGACGGCAAATGGAATCAATCAAGCGTTAAAGAGAATTACCGCTGGCTACCATTTGTTAAATTAGTTTGGTAGCCAAAACATATTCGTAGTATAACCAAGCAACGAATGCGAAGAATAACAACAAAAACAAAAAAGATTGTAAGATACTTCCGGTGAACAAGCCAAAGAAGTAGAATAGCATTTTCTTGGGGACGGGCGGTAAATGATTTGAACTTTTCATTACGAAATTCTTTTTTCTTGCAATATTAAATAAAACGTAGAAATATATTTATATAAATTAAAAAATAAATTTAAAATACTTTTTTCTTTATCTTTTCAGCTTAAAAACATGAACACAATGCGAGATTTGGCCAAAACTTTGGAGCTTAGCCGCGAAGATGTTCCGAATTGCCCTCCATGGAATGATTTGCCCAATGAGTTGCTGATACACATTTTCCAGTATTTGCCACATGGAGATTTACAACAGCTGCGTCTGGTATGTCGTCGTTGGCATGATTTGGCTTTGCTTCCCGAATTTAAGGAGAAAAATAAAATCGTGGTAAATAATGAAAATAAATCCCTACTTCTGGAAAATTTGCAAAGAGATGCGGATTTGGCACAACGTCTATGTTTTGATACCTTGGAATTACATGGCCTGGAATTGGGTGAAGATGTCCAGTTGCTGTTGCAATATTTGGGTAGAAAAGTGAATAAATTACGTTTATACAAATCGCCTGTTTTTGCCGCCCTGAATGATAATCTACCCGCCTTGGAGGAACTGATTGTGACTCACATACCCACTGTGCAAAGTGATAATACCTTTTCAATGAACCTGAGTAAATTTCCAAAATTCAAGGGCTTGGATATAGCCTGCAGTAATGTTACGACTTATATTAAAACCCATATGATTTTGAATTTAACCCGTGAGGTAACAGTTAAAATGGAAAAACTCTGCATCGAAGTGAATCGGGATCATGAAGATCTATTGATTTACACCCTACAATGTCATGCGAAAACTTTAAAACATTTGGAGATTATTTTGCGATCCACACCGATTATGATTGTGAAATGGAAGCAGGTCTTTGCAGCCTTGGAGAATTTGGAGACTTTAAAAATTACGGGGGTATCCTGCTATATGTGGCTGAAACATGTTTTTGAATGTTTACCCAAGGAGGCACCTTTGAGGCATTTAGATTTAAGTGGTGGTCTGCAGGTTGATGATCCTTTGATAAAATTAATTGTTAACAAATGGCCCCATAGTCTGCAGACCATGGAATTGATGTTTTGTAGCTGCCTAACCGATGAGGGTGTGAAAAGCTTAGGTTGCCTTAAGAATACGCTGAGAACTCTAAATATATCCCATTGTTCCAAAATATCTAGCCAAGGTTTATTACAGGGCCTGGTCCAAGAGATCAATCCCATATTGACCACATTGGTTCTAAATGATATCACAGATACCGAACCTGATAATATGTGTTTGGTTATGCAACGTTTGCCGAATTTATGTTACCTTAGCCTGGAGAGTTGCCGCGATGCTGTTACCGATGTGACCTTGGAGAATATTTTTCGAAATCAACGACGACTGCAACATTTATTTTTAGACGATTGTATGCGTATTAGTGATGAAGGTCTTTTGGGTTTTGGTGACGAACCAGCAGCTATACATAACCTCAAAGGGCTACAAACCCTTTCGCTGCGTGGTTGCCGCAATCTCTCCAATCGTGCCTTGGCTAAGGGATTGAAATTCTGTGAGCTACGAAAATTGGTATTGGGTTATTGCCATAAAATCTCTTCAATGGGTATTGAGGAATTGGTTGAAAATTGCCCTTCTCTTGAGGATTTAACCATCTCCAGTTGCCTCATGATTGATGATGATGCTATGCTGCACATAGCTCAAGGACTGCCACGTTTGAGGCGACTCAATGTTAGTAATTGTATAAATTTAACAGGGAAATCTATTGATTATGTTGTGGAACTGTGTACATCTTTGAAAGAGCTTTCAATGTGTGGTATAGATTCCTTGGAAATTCAAGAGGTCCAGGATAAATTCCTACAAATGAAACCACAAATTTGTGAAGTTAATTTATAATATGGAGAGAGGTTGCAATTGCTAGTTTAAGTGAAGGTAGAGAAAGAGGAGCTATGTTGGGTAGGAGAGCGGACATAACACAAAAAATCGTAAAAGGAGGAGGTAGAAGACCCCGGTTCGGCATGAGAGCGAACATAATACAAAAATCAAAGGTCTAGACAGAAAAGACAAAATTAAATTAAAAATAAGCAATGACTTCGTTATCCACCAAAAATAGACTAAAAAGAATGCTCTCAGGTCTGTGGCAGAGGTCTAGGTATGTGTTGTTTCTCTATACGAACAAAATCACCTCAGCTAAACTAAGGGAATCTTCGATAGAAAACGTGTCTTCAGTTTAACTGAGAACTTCAAAGATGTATAAAAAACTCGCATCTATGCTGAGGTCTTTAATAGAAAAAAATCCCTTATCTATGCTGAGGTCTAGGGCATTTCATTTTCTTTCTATACGAAAAAATGTTGAACTGTTGTCTATTCAAATTCTTTTATATAAGAAAAAAATGCCCTCAGCTTAACTGAGGTCTTCTAATTTTTTTCTATACGAAAAATCCGCGTTTTATGTCTATAGAAAAAAATGCCGGGTCATGGGTGGATTGTTCTGCCGAAGGGGAAAAATATATTTTTATTTTTAAAAATTTGGTAAATTGTCCACAGTTCCAGAAAGAGTTTTATCCCAAAATTCAATTCCTTTCATGTCCTATATGGTCCAAAACAATATAACTGTGTTTTTATTTTAAAAATAATTTTCTTTATGATTAATATATTTCCTTACAAGTGTATATTTTCTTTTGTAGAATACTGTACATATTTTGATACAATTTTTTTGTTTCCTTAATTATTTATCCAATATGGATAAAAAATTCAAATAAAAAACAGTTGTTTATTTTAAATTAATTACATACCTTACTACTTCGTGATAGAATAAAATTTTGTTAATTTTTAATTAAAACTACATAATTTTATCATACAGTTTATTTTGTATAAGAATTTAATTTTTAACCTGAAAAGCAATATGAAATATTTTTTGTTTCTTTTTTATGTTAATTTGTGCAATATTTTTATTTTATTTTTTAGTTCGAAAACAATTCTATACTATATGTTAAGAAATGATATATAATACTTATACATATTATACTAAATATACGATAAATGTTAAAAATAAAAACCTTTTTAAAATGTATTTTATAAAAACTTTAAAACTACTTTCAATAAAACATATATCTATTGTTATAATAACAAAAAATAATATTTTAAACAAAATGTGTGTTTTAATAATAACAAGGGTGGTTAAGGATAATATTGAAAATTCAATATATTTAAATTAATTCAAAATTTTGAATGGGCTATATACTGATAAGCACCTGTGGTATTGAATCAATGAAGAATTCTTTAATGCAACTATCATAAATACGTTGTAAAAGTTTTTAAATCTTTCATTCGGAAAATCAAGATAATTTTCTCATATATCTACTAGGTGAGTGGATCTAGCTTCATGTGTTCTTCTGTTTGTCAATTTTCAAATCGTTTCATGTTGATCCTGCTTTTTCCAAAAACACACCTATAATTTTTGGAATTTATCCATTAATATTAAGAGGACCAATCAAATGGATCACGACTACGTTATATAGTCGCTTTAGAGGTCACATTGTGACCCGAACATCACGAAATTGTATATGAGAAATAGTATCTGACCAACGAGTAAGCATTGCTGTTTTGATGATAATAGGTCAAAAATCAAAATCAAGTAACAACAACTAAAAAAGTGTCAGTCGGTGTCGCCGACAGTGTGCCCTCATCCTATGGTTTGCGAATCTGGGGAATTAGAAAAAGGCTTTATATGAGCTATAGGTTTTTATCAAAGTGCTGACTATCTTCTGACTTGATCTAAGTTCGATAAATGTATTACCATTTCCAAAGTTTGGATCAAGACGAGTGAACCGATAAGTCCCATATTCCAACATTATAGTAAAAAATAGTCGGTTGTGTAAAGTTTAGTTCAAATCGGATAGTCCGTTCGCATGATGTTATAAAATTAATTATCTGCAACATTATGACCATTTTCTGCGGGAGATACCAAAATTGAATACAATTTTCGATGTCCACATTGGATTGTTATTGGAATAAAAATATTGAAAATATTGACCCTTTTTGAAGAAGTAGGTCCCATCCTCAGACTCGATCTAGACTATATAAAAATATTACGATTTCCAAACTTAAACTTTAGAAATTTTTATTTGAGGAGTGGAGCGATAAGTCCCATCTTCAAGCGCTATATAAAAAAAAACAAAAAACATGAACCGATATTGATTATGGAAAATCAGCTCCCTTGTTGTCGTAAACCTGGAGCTATTTGTTTATAAGGGGTTTCCGAACTTGTAATTTAAACAACCAAATGAATTCGGCTTGAATTCATGCACTGTTGCGACTTTCTTCATTGATGGACTAATAACAACATAACAAGTGGAAAAGCGTCAAGTTCGGCCGGGCCGAACTTCGGATACCCTCCACCATAGATATACTGACAGGTACTTGAAATGAAAATATAGGGAATATATCAAAAAGTGGGTCTATACTGACATTTCTGCAAATCTATTATGTATACCGTAATACACATTTCAGAAATTTTTAATGGATAATTTAATTCTCAGCCTTAGATACACTTTGACCGAGTGAAAATGTGCCTCATCGAAATATTGGTTCTAGACCCCATGTTTCTTTGGACCAAATCCGTTTCAGAAAATGTTGATTTCATCCAAACTTTGCCCATCTTATCATTTTTTCCAAATTTAGTTCAAGTTCGAAGATGGGGAATATCGGTCCACTCCTTTTGGTATCTCCCACACAGGGGCTAGGCCTAAATGCGGGTTATAGTTCATTATCGAATCTTACGTTCTAGTTTTTTTATCTCGATATCCTCCGCAGGCGAAATTATTACAACAGAGTCTTAGAACCAAGCCCAAAACGCGGAACAAATCAGACAACTTTAATATAAACCAGTAAGGAAAGAAATAAAGTCGGACTGGGCCGTCTATATGATACCCTCCACCACTTTGGGTATATTCTACATAGTCTCCAGACGTCGCCTTTTCGAAAGAACATTGACATGAAATTGAACGAAAGATAATTAGGGATTTTGGCGCATCATTCACCTTATATCGGACGAAAATACATATGGGAGCTATATCTAAATCTGAACCGATTTCCACGAAACTTAGCGCACATCATTCTAGACTTCATTCAGTACGCTATGCCAAATTTCGTGCATATCGAAAGATATTTAGGGTCTTTGTTTAACCATTTATATTAAATTGGACGAAAATATATATCGGAGCTATATCTAAATCTGGACGATTTCCACGAAACTTAACACACATCATTCCAGACTTAATTCAATACACTGTACCAAATTTCGTGCGTATCGAAAGATATATAGGGACTGTGGTGCACCATTTATATTAAATCGGACGAAATTATATAAGGGAGCTATATCTAAATCTGAACCGATTTTCCCAATTTCAATAGAGTTCGTCCTTATGTCAAATAAATGAGCTGTGCTAAATTTCATCCAAATCGGATGATAAATGCGACCTACACTTTGTTTACAATTTAACATCATCAGACAGACGGACGGACATGCATAAATCGACTCAGAAGGTGAATCTATGAATATTCTCAAAAGGAACAATGGGTCTATCTCTTTTCCTTTTGCCTGTACCACAGTACGGTGATAGGTATAAAAAGGGGGATATATGGGGACTACCCCATCCATCGAATATTTATAATTTTTGGTAGGGAGATTTGTTACCATATACGATTACAAAATACCAAAACCTACATTTATAATTATTGTGGATACATTTATTACCTATTAAGAACCCAATGTACGAAATTGCAGCGAATTCGGTTGAAAAATGCGCTTAAGAACCCGAAAATACCAAAATTGACATGGACATGGCTATATCGTCTTAAAATTTTACCCAGATCAAGAATATATATACTTTACAGAGTCGGAAATATTTCGATGAGTTACTAACGAAATGACAAAATTAATATACCCTCCATACTGTGGTGGAAGGTATAAACATCTACAAGCTGCTTTATTTTGACCAAGCAAAAATTGGATCAATCTACTTTTCCATAGAATATTTTTTATTTCAAAATAAATTTTGCCTATATATTTTTGGTTTTTTAAAATACCGCAACCTACCTATTTATTTCTAAAAAAACTTTCACCATACGTTTATTTCAGTTGCTTTAGTTTTGGCCACCGACACGTGAATTCGAAAAAGCACGTGAATTCCGACAATAGTCGAATTATAAGATGGGTCCGAAGATGGAGCCTATCGGCAAACATTTGTATACCTTATGAAGTGAATAGAGTATCCGTCATAATATTTAACATGATGCAAAGGAATACATCAAATTGTTCGATGCCGACATATAGACTTCTCTGACCTGGTAAAACTGTACCAATTCCGGATAAAAGTATACTACATATGCCATCCACTGGGGGTATATATCATTCGGCAATACCGATTGATACTTTCTAGCACGTTTGTATATAGAGGTTCTACGTGAAATGTCTCATATGCTGTATCGTGTCACCCTCTGGCGTATAAAATGGAAACATACCCACTGTTTATGCCGTAGATAAACTTTTTTAGCGCTTTAAAAAGCAGAAAAACTTTCACTGTAATGAAAATCATTTTCTGAAAAAGCTTCCCTCGTGAGCTTTATGTAAAAACAAACAAATAAGCTCCCGCACATTTTCCCACCAACTTTATGAAATTTTATCCAATTGAAAACTATTTTCAACCTTTTGTTTTCATTTCAACGCCAACAACAACAGTGGCAACACAACAAAACGAAATGCATTTTCATTGATTTGGGAATTCACGAAACCGAAAGACACAAAAAAAAAAAAAAACAAAAACACAAATCCGTTGATGGAAAAGTGAATATAAACGACGTGACCGGTAGAGCGGGAAACTAAGAAGAAGAAAAGTAAATATATAACAAAACAAAAAACAGGCGCGTTCACACATTCACGCACACAGACACACGGAGAAACAACATATATCCCCCCAAAAAAGCTAAAGGAAAAACACAATGAAATTAGCAAAACAATTAGTTTTTTTTTGAAAAGCGAAACGAAAATGAAGTGAAGTGAAAACCAAACACAAAAAAGTGTATTTTAAGCGGAAAATTCATATCATTGGCCAGATAAATTTGAACTTCGGTCGAATGAGGACCTTTTTATTCGGGTGGCGAACAAAACTAATTTGTTGCGGATGATTTAACGGAAAACTGAGACAAGTGTAAATGGAATACAGAAGAATGAAATAATAGTTTTCTGGAAAAAATTAAAATAAATAAATGAAAAAATAATAATTATTTTTTATAAAAAAAAAATAAAAAAATAAGTGTGAACACCAAAAATATTCCACAATCTACCTGTTGACAATTTCGCATTGTGTGTGTGTGTGATTTTCCGCGTATAAAAATTGGTGTTTGCATATTTTGCGTGTTTGCCCACAAAAACTGTTTTTTGTAGTTGTATTTTGCGTGCAGTTAGCCAAGTTTAAACGATTACTTACATACAAAAAAAATTGGCATTTAAGACCTACCCCATGCCATTGTTAACCATCTGGAGGCAACAAACAATTTATCAAGATTGAATGCAGTTGTGTGCGTGCGTGTATTTATTTAATAGGTGAAGAGAGTGCAAGATCACTTACTCATGTTTTTTGTTTATTATAAAATACAAAAAGTTAATGCAACACCAAAATTAATCGTATATCAAAGTTTTATTTAAGATAAAGAAAAGTAAATAGAAAAATTAATCCATATAATTAAAGTGAAAAAAAAAACAATAAATTTAATGTGACCTAAGGCTTCAGTAAGCCATTAATAATTAAAAATCCATTTGGAATATTTTGCTTACAATATGTAAGAATAGAGGTGAGCAGTATAGTCGAAAGGGACCGACAATATGGCACCCTACACAACTACCACTGAATTCTAATTTTATGCGTATCTGTATTCTGAACCGTGACAATATTTTGGGGTATTCCGCCCCTAAGGTAGTAACGATAATAGACACCTGTAAATATTTTACTACAAGTCACACATTAATCACTACGTATCGACAAAATTAAAATCGGGTTTAAATAAAAACCTTTGCGAATAATTAAGGGATTTCTTCCACCATCATAAGCTTTCAGAATTTTGCGGTTCCGATTGGTTGAACATTTTAGTGCTGCACAGTGTTATTGGTATACTACAAGGTGGGTCTAAAACTTGGCAGTCGGTGTTGTCGTCAGATTTATACTCCCAGCCTATGACATATGCAATATACCGTTATCCTGACTTTTTTATGCTAATCTGGAGGTCTATGGAATCACAGTCTAGTGTCGAATACAGCATTTTATACCTTTCAACTACACTGTGGTACAGGGTATTATGTATTTGTGCATATGTTTGTAACAGGCAAAAGGAATCGAGATAGACCCATGGTTCCTTTTGAGAATATGCATCACTTTCAGAGTCGATTTACGCATGTCCGTCTGTTCGTCCGTCCATGTATTTTTGTGAACAAAGTACAGGTCGCATTTATGATCCGATATGGATGAAATTCGGTACAGTTCACGTATTTGGCCCAAGGACGAAACCTATTGAAATTGGAAAAAATTGGTTCAGATTTAGATATAGTTCCATATATAGTTACGACCGATTTTATGTAAATGATGTACAAAACTCCCAATATTTGTCCAATTGGGACAACATTTTGCAAAGAGTACTGCATTAGATCCATACTAATTATATGAAGTTTTGTTGAAATCGGTGTAGATTTAGATATAGGTCCTATGTATGGTTTCGTCCGATTTTATGTGAATGACGCACCAAACCAATTGAGACAAACGTTTGCATAGCGAATGCAATTGAGGCAAGAATGATGTGTGAAAAGGTTTGTTGAAATCGATTTAGATTTATATAGGTCTTATATATATTTTCGTGCACCGAAGAACCTATGTTTGTTCGATTTACACGAAATTTGTCAGAGGGTATTCAAATCCGTTTCAGAAATTTTGGAGTCGATTTACAAATGTCCGTCTGTCTGTATGGCTGGCACGATAACTCACGAAGGGAGTAACCGATTTCATCCAAACTTTTCATATCGTAGCATATCTTCCAAACTTAGTTTAAGTTGGAAGATGGGGAGCATCGATAACAATTTTGCTGAAAATTATTTTTATAGTATCATGCGAATGGATGGTCCCATTTAACCAAAATTTGCCTATCCTTTTACCTTTACCAAGCCTAGATCAAGTCCATTGGTCCACTCCTTTTGGTATATACATCCAATATTAGACTAATGGAATGTCCGATATGATCTTAATCGTGCACATCGTAAAATTTCGTCCAAACTCATATTACGTTTGAATATTGCAGAAAATCGGACTTGTGCTTTTAGTACCTCCCCCACAATTTCATCCAAACGTTGCATATGATAATATTAGTTTGGGGAAAAAGAAATCCATTTTTTATATGAACTTTAGTACTTTATTTAACATGCTTCGGAATGTCCGATTTGGGCCAAATATGCACGGTTTTGTTGTATGATTTGTTGCCATTTTTAAAGTAACTTCATAATGCTTATCTCATAGAACTCCTCCCCAGATACCAATTTTTTTCATTAAAGAAATTTTGCAATGCACGAAAAAGATGACAATCGCATAGTGCCAAGTTCGGACTGTATGGCGGATGCCAAACCAAGCTCCCGAAGTTTCTGGCGAGTCACTGTAGATGTGTGTGGCACAACACCTCTCCTGTTGGCCAATTCTGGCCTAATAAATAATCCCCTTTCCCACAAAGTGTCAACATTTTGAAAATATTTTAGTCCAACAATAATGTGTGTAATGTGTGATTTGATCTAAACTTAGCAAATCGTAGCATGTTTCCAAACCTACATCAAATCCTAAAATGAGGTCTTCTGACGGTGAACTCTTTGATATAAACATGTAACTTATTTAAATCTTATAATAAAACCTATGCGTTATGGCGAGACCTCCGCATACCATAAGCTTAGGATGTATATCTGTCGGCAACACCGACTGAAATTTTCTTCGTTATTACTTACTTACGTAGCTGGCTTGTTACAGAACAGTTGTTCCATAAGCCGAGCTTAAAAACGATTTCCAAGGGCGTCGTCTTGTGCGCAAATCCACCAATTTGTTGTATTTTGTTTTGGCAGGTACCAAAGGTTGTTATCCCGACTGTAAGAAGATATCAGAATAAGTGGACTTATAGATCTGGATTTAATATAGGTTTGGCAAATATATTACGTTTTGAATTCAATGGAATTTAGAAGTTTTAATATTGTTGATACATTGTGGGGAGGCATTAGAAAGAGTTAAAGAAAAAAGTCTCGTTCTCTCACTTAGTCTAGGTTTGGTAAAATACACATTTTGATTTCAGTGGAACTCTCCAATAGCTTCATATTGTATTGACAAAATTTCAAAACAATTTGACACTTTTTGGGAGATTTGCTAGATGGGTGGACTGATGGGTTCCATCTTCGGACAGGTTTGTTAAAAGTAATTTGCGAAGTTTTGAATAAAATTGGATATTCCGTTCGTTTCATACAAATTTTCAAAATTCAGAAACTATGTGGATAAGGTATTAGAAGGAGGTTGTGCAACCGTAAGGTTGAGGATTCACAATAAATAATCTTATCTTATTGGTTTTTTGAATACCTCAGAAAATTTTAGCAAATAAATTGTGTAATTCTCCGAATTGAACGTACTACGATGCTCAGTGGAACAGTCAGCACTTGACATGGGCATCTTGGGCTCCTCTGCGTATTTCCCTGACCTGGGTGCAATAATATATTTCATATAAATTGTAAATTAACGGGAACTGTTGGATTCATCAGAACTATATATCTTATTATGCCAAACACGAATGGGTACATTTCTCAAGTGACAGCAATTTTCCGGTTTCAGGTTACGATCAAAAAATATATAAAAATTATTTTTTGAATTTTGTTATTACCGGTGGATAGAAATTTTTTGGCTGACCGCAATTCCATGTAGAACATGGATATACGTTTAAATTAATTTGGTGTTGCAATTAACTAAGGTATTTTAAAAATGATTTATATAACAATTACAATTTGTTGTTCTTCAAAAATAGAAAACAAATAAATTGACTAACAATTTGAAACACAACAACAACAACACAATGATGGACACATTATCAGAAGAACGCCAATCCACGAATGAAGACAATTCTGTAACATCAATTATAAATGACAACATGACCACTTCCACAATGCTGACAGCAGCAGCAACAACAACAAACGCCAGTGAACAAGACATCTTCAACGATATCTTCTATCAACAGCACACATCAATGGAATATGATTTAATGGAGGCATTCGGTCCGAAACGTGATTCGCTACAAGTGGTCATACCCTTGACCATAATTTATGGTTTGATTTTTGTAACAGGTGTTATTGGCAACATTAGCACCTGTATTGTGATTAAGAAGAATCGTTCCATGCACACGGCCACCAATTATTATCTCTTCAGTTTGGCTATATCGGATTTTCTGTTGTTGATTTCGGGTGTGCCACAAGAAATCTATTTAACTTGGTCGAAATATCCCTATGTATTTGGTGAATATTTTTGTGTTGGCCGTGGTATATTGGCTGAGACCTCAGCAAATGCTACAGTTCTGACGATAACAGCATTCACCGTGGAACGTTATGTTGCCATCTGCCATCCATTTCTAAGTCAAGCCATTTCGAAGTTAAGTCGTGCCATACGCATCATTGTACTCATCTGGATTTTGTCGATTCTGACTGCCATACCACAAGCTCTACAATTTGGTATCATTTCGATTGGTGGTATTGAGAAATGTGTTGTTGTTCGTATTATTCTGCAACATTCCTTTCAATTGTCCACGTATATATTCTTTTTTGCTCCGATGTCGATTATCTTTGTCCTTTATCTGCTGATCGGTCTTCATTTGTATCGTTCGAATGTTATTGGAGGTGGTGCCCTGGGTAATGGCAGCATGGATAACGATGTCAATGGTCGTAGCAAGGACACTATGATGAAACGTTTTCGTCGTGATCTATCACATGATTTAAGTGATCCATCGACAACACGTGGACGTGGTCGTTTCGGTATGAAAAGTGTGCAGAGTGATACGATTTTGTATCGTTATTCGGGTGGCGCCCAAGTCAGCGCTGTGCGTGGACGCATGAATCAATTCGGAACGAAGAGGGTGCTGAAAATGTTGGGTGAGTATTTGAAGATGTTTATTTATTTGATTTCTTTTTTGCAAACTGAAAATATACACACTTTTTTCTTAATAAGCGGAAAATGCTATTTCGTCTGATTGAAAATTGGCATACATATAGTGCTAGTTAGTCAACTAAGAGCAGCTCAGAAATCGCTGTCATTATCTGAATATCCGGTTCAAAAAAATTAGAAAATCCCACTTGTCATACAGGAAACAATAAAAAGTGGTTCAGTTCCAGACCAGACCGAACTTTTTAAACCCTCCACAACATGCTGTATATATTTAATATTTCTTTATATGGAGACAGTGTCATTGCAAAGTATTTCGGTATTTTGGAGGCGTTCGAAGTGCCTTTCAAGAGTCATTTTGGGTATCTATTTTCCAACCTGAGTGTCTGTGGTTTGGTATTTCGTTTTCTCGTGGCAGTAATTTACCATGGCATTGCCTCCATATAGTTTTTAGGTACTGTAAATGTCTTCTTTTTGGATGTCCGATTAGCCTAAATTTTGTTTCCTAATGAATTTGGTATGGGAAATTAATTATTTCCTATCCGGTTTAGGAATATCTCTCGACAGGTTGTTATTTGTGTATTTATAGAAATAAAAATCTGGAGTTCTCAATTGCAGCCTCGTCGATGGGAAAATCTGCCAAAGTCTTCAAAATACGAAAAATGTAACTGCCTAAACATTGAAACGTTGGAATCTTCTGCAAAAGATTTGGCATTCCATATACAGTCACTTCGGGGTGAAAATTTTGGCGTGACATTATACAGGGATATCTCAAAACGTGGACCTATATTTATCTTTTTTCTCAGCAAATGTATGTCAGCCTACAAAACTCCGATATTCCAATTCTTAAAGCTTTCAGATGGAAAAAGCACCTAAAAAGTTAATACATATATCAAAAAATTGGCGGGACCTTCATATTGAAGCTATGTCAACTCATGGATCTGAATTTATAATTTTCCGAACACATGTTTTTCATCTATGCCAATATATGGATTTATATCACTCTCCAAAAACCCGGAATGCCAATGTATATCCCATTCGCTTGGAAAATGCGGCTAAAACCGAAGATATCAGAAAATATTCTCTGCCTAAACATGGACCGATTTACCTCATTTGCAATACCAAGTATCATAGGATTAATAGTAGACCTGTGTAAATTTTCAAAGCTCGATTTTAAATATTGCGACTTCTATTGTGATTTCCACAGAGATACGGACATGACATAGAATTTTATTCTGATGAAGAACATATATTTTATATTCTCTATTCCGGTCAAAATTTGACGGGTATAAACAGAATGGCAAATTTTATATACTCCGTCTTATGATGAGGGTATGGGTGTGGCAGTAAATGGTTATCAGACCAAGCTGATGGTATCAACGCGCATGACCTACTGGAAGTCTTGCAACTGTGGAAATTGATAAATACAGCTTTAGGTAGTTAAAGATTTTATTTACCTCAGACCAGACCAAACACACAATCTGCAAGGCGCTGATACTACCCGTTCTGGAATATGGATCTGAGGGATGGGTATTTGCGCAAGCAGATGAGAAAGCTATTAGGGTGCTTAAGAGAAAAATTCTTCGAAAGATCTATCTGTCGAATGAACCACCAGATATATCATCTGCCAACGTACATCGTCATAGTTAGACGCATCGAGTTGCAGCGACAGCGTTGGCTAGGATGCAAATGGATTAGGATGCTTCAGCTCAAGGAAGATCAATAATTTTCTTCTACTATTTCTTCCAACATTTTTGAGCCAACAGCAAAAAATATGTCATGTCATTACCAAATCCGCTTTCTGGGTTCACTACTAGCTTTCATTCTCACAACTATGTTGTCATTCCCCATCACAACTAGGTTCTCCAGGTATTATAGTTTTGTACAGACCCAAGAGTTTGCATACCGATCCTTTTAGTATACCGATCGTTATATCTCGACTAGCTGAGTCGATCTAGACTTGTGTGTAAGTCCGCCCGTCTGTCCATTATAAATTGTAAATACGATACAGGCCACAGTTATGGACCAATCCTCACGAAATTTTGCATGTAGGATGAGTTCTAGCCAAAGAAGACCCCGTTTGTTTTTGAGATTTAGGGGATGAAATTTACCAAAAACTTTTATGTCGGTTTTTCTGTTTGTTTAAGAGGCCACACTTATGACCCGAACAACACGAAATTGTACAAAAGGAATTGAATCTGGTCAAAGAATAAACATGACTCTTTTCATGAAGATCGGTCAATATTTAGAGCCAGACCCAGACTGAAAAATGAAAAAATTGCATTCTCTGTGGTGTATATTAACTCCTAAAGAATATAGATCGCAGAAGTTGACGGTATATCCAAGAGGCGTGGTTGGCCTTTAAATTGATACCAATTATATGGCTGCATGTACTCGGATAACGGAGTTATACGTAAATATTTAAGGTGGTCTACGTATGCTGATATTGTTTAGTATTACAATTACCACACTAGAGGGCGAAAATGCCGCGCGGATCGCTTTGAAATTTTACATGACGTTCCGGTTATGGTCAAGGGTCTATAATTTTCGATGTTGTTGAGATCATATTTAGGGGGTGAAATGAACCGAAAACTTTTTTGTAAGATTTTCTATTTGCTCTAGAGTCGATTATTATATACAGAACATCATATATTTCACACTGTGAAGGGGATCTGACCAAATACTTAGAACGGCTGCTTACATGGGAATCGGTCAATATTCCGAATGTCAAATTAACTAAAACCTAAAGTGACAACATTTTTATTTTATGGCGTAGATATTCATCTCGGAAAATAAGATTTGGAAAATATGCCAGGGTTAGAAAGTGGAGCTGTTAACTTATATTCGGTCAAAAGGGGCAAATATCGTGAAATTGTCTATGCTCAAAATATAAAACCGTAAAATGTTAGATTTTCGTGGTAGTTGTGTTGGTTATCATATGGTCGGTCCCGTCCGATTATACAGCTCCGCTCACTGGTTTTTCTCGTAGACAACTGGATACATATATCTCCAGTATATTTAATCAGATCCGATTTTCGATGTTTTGAAGAACTCAGCAACAATTGTATACTAAATTGGCTGTAAGTATTTCCTGGCACCATCTGACATGCCAATTTTTGATAAGGTGTGAAATTGTTGTTTTTAGAATCTTAAAAATCAATTTGGAAAAAAATTGTCATCTCACATATCGTGATATCCTGAATCCTTGGAAATTTCTACCATCACCATGCATTCGATATAAGCCCGAAACAAATCACCATTCAATCGTGTGGATATTCGAAGATGGCGAAGTAGAAATTGGTTTCCAGTTTGGGAAACCGATACACCTCAAATTGTTTGCCTAAAATCTTCGTAGAAGTTCGGAAAATGATAAGAGAATGGTCCATGGTGATACATAGCCTCACGCATCGAGTCAAGCTTATGTCATTCGCTAATTCCATATTCAGACTTGTAATAGCCTTCGTAAAAATATTATTACGTGCATAGTTTGGATTAATTCAAATACTGCATTTGTTAGGACGTTAGGGAATCAGATGGAGTGGACCTACGTATCCTTTTTGTATTTTATACATATATTACGATGTGACCAGTTATTTCTTTTTGAGTATTTTAAAATCAGACCCAATTTAAGTCCCAATAGTCAGAGAATTTAATGTTGAAACTTATCACAGAGTACTGCATTAAACCTTTATTTTCAAAAAAGTTACAGATCATTTAGTCAGTTTGTTATTTCAGTTGCTTAAGTTTTGGCCACCGGTGTAGGGTATAATAAAGCCGGCCCGTTCAACTTTTATCCATTCCTAAATGTTTACATTTGTTTCATATCAAAAAGTACAAATGGTCCACACTAATGTTTACAACGCAGAGATTTACTCACCAAACTCACACACCTAAATAACTACGTATGTAACTTAATCTAGTGTGTCCTCAGGTGCTATTAAATCAAGATGATAATAAATTATTTACCTGCTTGCTTCGATAAATGATTTTCCTGGTATTAGACAATTATTATGTCATGAATGTTTTGTGTTGGGTTTTTTGTTGTGGTGTTTTTGTATGGGGACAAGAACGGATTTTAACCTGTCAGCGTCCACTTGTTATTCATTTATTAAATTTAAGTAAAAGTTGTCGCATATACCATGAATGTTGAGAACAATAGGTTGGCAATTCCTTTAGGTAAGGCAAGTTTTAGGAAATATTTTTATTTAACGGAAATTCAAAGAAATATTATTTATACTTTCTATGAATTGACTTGATGTATTATATTACATTAATGGGACGATTGATTCATAGACTATCATCATTATTTTAGGAATTAATATTTTGTAGGCACATCTAAATTAAGGTGAAATAATACACCTCCAGGAACTTTTAACCAAAAATTGCCACAATATTAAATTAATTATCACCTAAGAATTAAGTTATTAAAGCATATATTTTCTATGACCAATATAGGCGTGGATTTTTAAAGAAAATTTTTTTCGAGGACCAAAACAGGCTTTGATTTCTAAAGAATGTTTTTTTAAGACCTATACAGGAGTGGATTTCTAAAGAATATTTTTTCTAGGACCAATACAGGCGTGGATTTCCAAAGAATATTTTTCTAGGACCAATACAGGCGTGGATTTCCAAAGAATATTTTTTTTAGGACCAATACAGGCGTGGATTTCTAAAGAATATTTTTTCTAGGACCAATACAGGCGTGGATTTCTAAAGAATATTTTTTCTAGGACCAATACAGGCGTGGATTTCTAAAGAATATTTTTTCTAGATACCAAGCAACGGCTCTGATTGACTTCGCGGCAGCAAAAAAACATGGTAGTTAGCAGCACCAGATTCAATCATCTCGATATACACAAGGCCACTTGGATTTCTCCCGGTCGAACAACGAGAAATCAAATCGATCATGTTGTGATAGACGGAAGGTACTCATCTAGTGTTTTAGACGTCCGGTCGATCCGGGTAGCGAATATCGATTTGGCCCATTACC